AAGAAAAATAATAAAACCATGTTCCAGCTTGAACATGTATTAAGAAGAAACCAGCTTCCTAAGATCTCCGGCATGCTTCCCTAGCACTTGATTTAATATGGGATATGAAGTCAAAGATTCTAAATGAATGCAATATTGTATTAAACTTATGAAACTGCATGAACTTCTCAAGCTGTTCTGAGAGCCAGAGCCATCAGTGCGGACATCCCTGAGATATGATTTCAATAAATAGATGTTCTATCTCTAATGGGCCATTAAGTAGGAAACGCAACTTCTCATTTCTATTTGGTCATCTCAGTGGTCTATCTGAGCCGAAAACTTGCCATACATAACATTCTCCCCATGGTCGGAGGAACTTCAGCTTCAGCTATTAGTGCATAAAATATTAGGTGATTTCTCTTCATTCTGTGATTTAAGAAAGTAATAAAGAGCCCCCAGATTTGTCAGTTCTTGTCAGTAAAAGCACAGCAGCTATAAAAACACTACCTCGGGGCTTTGATCATGCTAGCAAGTTGTTTAGTTGGTGACTAACAAAACCACTCTCTGTGATATCTCTTCCCTAAACACCTGTGCAATGTGTCCTGCAGGGTGCTAAGCAATAGCTTCTCAACTGCTTGTCACCTCATAGCATGGGTTTCTAGCATCATAATAAATAAATACCACTGAAAGTGTAACAACTTCATAATTCATTTTGACCACTAAAGTATTAGGAGACAATTTGCTAAAGATATCCCATCCAGGGGGAGCAGAAAGGATATGTGATAGGTAGGGTTTTAGTGGGGGGGGACTAGGGGAGGACGGGAGGGAGAAGGGAACTGGGATTGTCATGTAAAACAATCCTGTTTCTAATTCAAATAAAAATTGAAAAAAAAGATATCACATTTAATATCTACAGACTAAATAATTACATCCCAAGAATGCTGAGTGAGTTTTATTCTTGGCCTTGTTTTGTTCCATCTATATGATTTGACTAATGTTTCGATGTCTAAAGGTGTAAATAAACATTGATTCACTGAACTCACTATAGTAGCAGGCATGCTGGAAGTCTGTATTATCCAATACAGTAGCCACCAGCCAAAACTAGCCAGCAAGTACTTGGATTAAGACTGGATCTGGCCATTGGGAGGTCAGGCTTAACATTTGGTGGGAAGTCTATGGAACTCATGGAGGACCAAAGCTTGTTATGGAGGTCAGATGAGTAAATACAAGGGCCAAGTGGAGAGCAGTGTAATGGGAGGTGAGGAGGTGGGATGCACTGAACAGGTAGTTAAGCAGAGGACTTCGGTGGAGCTCTATTCCCCAAACCAGTGATCCAGAAGTAATGTGAGAACTGGATGATGGAGTGGGCAGCTAGGTTTATAGTTAGCTTTTATTAGGGGAAGGATACGTTAAGCTGAAATTCTCTGCATTAACAGAGCAACCAATAGAGTGAGAATAGACTCAAGCTCCTTAGACAGAATTGGAATGTCTGTGGTCTTGATAGTGTAACTGGGACCCAGATGCCAAAGAAAATCATAAGAATTGTAAAATCATATTTTTCTCTGAAAAGTAAGAATCCATAATGCTGCAAAGAAGGTATTCTGTTATTTCCTTTAACAAGAAAATTTTATAAATTCATATTGTTCGGATTGCTTTGTCAAAAAGAAAAGCCCCCTTCTCAAACTTCTCTGAAATCATTTCTTAAAGCTAACTTTAGGTTGCCAATTCCAAAACACTAAAATGTCATTTCAAAATATACACTCTATATTTATATATAATGATACTAATCAACAGTTGAACATGGCTGAAATAATAGCATTTTAACTGAATACATATTGATTAGTCTGCTTCATTTTATAGGTAAGAACAAAGAAGCCTAAAAAATATGTGACTTAACATAGCTTGCCCAACCATGGTCCAAACCTAGGTCCAATGCACCTTACATTTTAAGCAAAAGACAGGCTGAAGACTTATCAGGGTATTTGGGGTTATCCTATGTATTACAGAAATGGAGAAAATAGAACATTCACTTTTTATTGGTTTTTTCATGACACAAAATAATTACACACATTTGCCACAGTGTGATGTTTCTATTCATGTATATGTCATATAGTGAACAAATAAGAATAATTAGCAAAATGAAAAATCTAATAGAATGCCTCATTAGGGAGAATGAATTGAATCCCTTTATATTTCCCAATTTATAAGGCACATCCTTATATTTTACATTAAACTTTCCACTCATTGTTTTTTTTCAAAAGTGCTTTGTTAGTATCCTGTATGCTAGGAAATCTGACCCAAACAGACAGAGTCGTTGTGTATTTAATACCCTCTTAAAAATGTCAGACTTTTGTACAGATTTTCCAAAAGTCTCCTCCCTTATTGAAAGTAGAAAAGACAATGTATTGATGGTGTAGAGAAAAAGTGGTAGTTTTTCAGGACTTAATTGTTAAAACCATCAAAGTATTCAAATACTGCTGTCAAATTTTTAGGATTATCTGTGGACAGTAGGTCCCACAAACTGTAAAATCTTGGTGATATGCTTGCTGATATAGAAGGAAACTATGCCCCATATTTTGTGTGAGTTAAAGGTATGTACTTGTAATTCAGTACATGGAAAACCCAACAGTGGTCTAGCACATAAATGGTCAGTGTTGTGATTGTTGTTTTAGGATCAGTGAGAGCTTTGGGGGCACCCTCTAAGATTAAAAGTCAGATAGGGCATCACATAGCCCACTCAGACTACATGAGTCCGTTTCTGGAAGTAATAATGATTTCTCAAAATGAAGTCATTTATATTTTTAGTCATGCTCTATTGTGTGTACTGAGTAATTTCTTGAGAGCAGTGTTTCCTGTGGCACTGTGCCAAGACTGGCTTTATTTGTTTTTCATTAGGCTTTTCATTATCATGCTGCTGTAGACCTAGATCACTCTACCTCCTCTGAGATGGCTGGCGTAGCTTAAGCATAAGCATGATGCTATGAGTAGGTGGAATACTTTTGTTCAGTGAATGCCCATCTTAAATCCCTAACTGAGGTGACATTCTAATGGCTTTAATCTTCTAACAACAGTCAATTATTCATTTCTAACATGGTCTGATATTAAACTGTTTACAAGGAAAAGCATTAATCTCACTTTATACCAGTCTAGAACCCCCCCTTTTCTTTTTTTTTTTTTTTTATCTCAGGAAAGGCATCTAGATACATCTCCTGCCCCAATCTGCATTTCTCTTCATTCTACAGGTTCAACCTCCAACTAACACTGCTTGATTGTTTCAATAGTTTTCTGCCTTGCATAACTATTATGTCCATGTCATCCCGAAAGCAACTGTTGTATCCTCCTAATGGTTTTCAGGACCCCAAGACTGCCCTTCTAGCCTTTCTAGTTCATTTTCTTTTGCTCTGAACATCTGTTAGTACCTGTTTTTCTCCATGACCAAGTATTCTGTCTCTTCTCTCATAAGTATCTTGTGTTACACATTAATAGGATGGATCTTGATTTATCAAGGGGAAAAAAACAGTAACACAAATTCTTGAACTTCCATCCATTCCTGAAGTCTTCAATATTCCATTTTTGTTTTAATGGAATATAATTCCTGTGCTTGATTATAGACCTATGGACCACAATATGGTCATGTGATACATGTGTACAGTGAATCATAATCAAATATGGCAAATAACATCTCATCTCCTAAATATTCCTATGTGCTGGAAAACATTGAATTCCTCTAATAATTTTAGAATATATGAAAGTGTTATAGAATACAGTTATTCTACTGTTTGATACAGCATTTTAATGAATTTCTCCATCTATCCCAATACCCAACCTCCTACCACTCCCAATAGTCTTGCAACCTCTTTTCTACTTTCTAGCTCCCACAAAATGAATGAGGTCATGTGGTTGCCTTATTCTATTTGGAATATTAGACTCTTAGATTTAAAGAGAAACTCTTATCTTGTAAACTCAGAAAGACTGGACTTCGGGGACAAAATAAGTTACTCTGCTTTCTGTTTCAAATATTGATCAAGGGCTTAAAATAATCACTTGAGATCTGACACTTTTAAAAGTAGGCTAGTCCTTGGAGAATGTATGGCCGGTCTTTTCATCTTCTAGGGAAGAAAACTGAGGCCCAGCCATGAAAGTCCAAATGATATTTCTGAATTTATAATTTCATCATGTAACTCTTTTCTAAGCCTACCATGGCTATCCATGATGGCAAAAATGAATACAAACTGTCACTATGCCATACAGTGTCTGTTTGGTCTAGCCTGGGCTTACTTTTTCATCCTTACATTTTTATTTTCTCTCCATTTTATTCCAAATATAAACATTTGTTTGTTTGGCTGGGGTTTTTTTTCCTATTAGTTATTGCACATGGTTTCCACTTTGTCCTTCTTGTTTTGGGTTCTAAGCACACTTAACATATTTGGTTATACATCTTCTCCAAAACTGTGCTCCCAAGCAGGCATCACATGGCACCTATTTGGAAGGAATGCCGACAGTTGTTAGCAGATACTTGCGTCTTATTCATTGTTCCATCCCCACATTTTAAGAATCTGACATTCAATATTTTTAAATGAATTATTTTTACTTTTAACCTGCCATGGTACATGTCAATTTTTCCATCAGCCCTCCTCACAAAATCTATTTTCAGATTAGATTTTAAAAATAAATTGATTCATTCCCATCCTTCTATAAGTCACTGATAATCCTGAATGACAACTCTTCCTAGAAGCACTTAGATTTTTACAGGAACAGAATTCTAAGTCATAGGAATGACTCTTCAATGTAGAAAATTTTAGCCATAAATAACAAGTCATTAGAGCTGTATGTGAGGGAAGTTCGGTTCCCCTGGCCTTCAAATCAGTCTCTCAGGTGACCTACTCTTCCTTCACCCTCAAAGGGGGGAGGGGGTGACTCTATTTTTGTTTATAAAATTCAGAGCACTTGTTGTTTTACTCTATGTAAAGTGAATTATTATTTCACATGGCATAAATGTAACATTTCTGGTTTGATTTCAGGGAAGCAATGTTATGGAAGATCAGGATTTGTTGGAAATTGGAATCCTTAATTCTGGACACAGACAGAGAATTCTACAGGCAATCCAGCTCCTTCCAAAGGTAAGGGATGCTCTATTGAAATTGCCTTATGAAAGATTTCCTGTGACAGTCGAAGCATGTAAGAACCTTGACATGGAAATACAGTGTTCCTACATGCTGCACAGACATAAGAATGGCCTTAGGTCCCACTTTAATCAGACACAAAAGACTACCACAAGCTTCACTTGGTTTTAAACTGACCTACAAGAATGCAATATTGGAAACACTGAAGAGCAATGGAACAGATTCCAAATACCTCTTCTGTGTGAGTCCTAACTCACGTACAGTGACAACCAAGGTCAAAGAAGATGGGATTCATGTAGAGTACAGTAATACCTTTGGCTTAAAAGCTTCATGAGCTGGGCGTTGGTGGCACATGCCTTTAATCCCAGCACTCAGGAGGCAGAGGCAGACAGATCTCTGTGAGTTCGAGGCCAGCCTGGTCTCCAGAGCAAGTGCCAGAATAGGCTCCAAAGCTACACAGAGAAACTGTCTCAAAAAACAAAAAAAACAAACAAACAAACAAACAAAAAAAAAAAAAAAAAGCTTCATGAATGGGAGAATCTTTGCTGCCTACACATCTAACAGAATTAATGTCTAGAATATATAAATAACTTAAAAAATGAATGTCCCCAAACGAAACAATCAATACATAGGTTAATGAAATGTAGTTCTTAACAGATGAACTATAGATGGCCAACAAATATGTTGAAAATGGCCAGCATCCTTAGTCATTGTGTTGGATAGCCTTATGTCAGGTTGGCACAGGCTAGATTTATTTGAGAGGAGGGAACCACAATTAAGAATATGCACCCTAAGACAGTCATCAAGGCAAAACATAGTAAAACTTGATCAAGATTCCATCTCACCCCAGCCGGGATGGCTAGCATTAAGAAAACAAACTACAACCAATGCTGGAGAAGATGTAGGGGAAGAAACTATTTCTGTACTATTGGTAGGGTTGTAAATTAGCCCATTCACTGCTCCAAAGGTTCCTTTTACAACTCCAAACAGTACTTTCATCACCTAGCTATGCAACAGATGGGTATATGTCTGAAGAACTCTAAGTATACTACACAAATACTGGTGTGCTGGAGTCAGCCTAGGAACCATTAACATATGAAGATCAAAGAGCTGTAAGTTAGTATACTATACAAATACCTGCTTACTGGAGTCAGCCTAGGTATCCATTAACTTATGAATCAATTTTTAGTGTTTTATATATAGTATATATGCACAATAGAGTTTTGTTCACCATAAAAGGAGTAAAATTGTGTCATTATATGGATTTAAAAATTAGATTTTAAAAATAAATTGATTCATTCCCATCCTTCTATAAGCCACTGATAATCCTGAATGACAACTCTTCCTAGAAGCACTTAGATTTTTATAGGAACAGAATTCTAAGTCATAGGAATGACTCTTCAATGTAGAAAATTTTAGCCATAAATAACAAGTCATTAGAGCTGTATGTGAGGGAAGTTCGGTTCCCCTGGCCTTCATTATATGGAGTATATATGCAACTAAGATCATCATATTAAACCAAATCAAATATTGCATATTTTCTTTTCTTTGGAGTCCTAGAATTCTTTATAAATAAAAAACAATACTATATTCACATGTACAAATGAGTAACATGAAAACAAGGGAAGCTAGTGGAAGGGAAGAGACTTTCAGAGGAACAATGGAAATGGAACTAAGGGGAGAGATGTGTATGGTCAAAATACAGGATACACTTAAAGAATTGTCTATATAAAAGCAAACACTATATGCAATGAATATATACCAATAAGAATATTGGGGCAGAAGAGCTTCATGCTCCATTGGAAACAATATCTCTTGTAACAACTCCAAGATTTAGCATCCTAAGTCCCTACAAGGGACTTGCCAAATAACAAAAGGTATCATTTGGAAAAGTTCCACAGTGTCCCATCCCACTGTACATTTCCAGTTGATCCGTAGGTTTTCCAGGTTAGATGTAATTTGTCAACCAAGTGTCGTTTTTACTGGAAACTGTGTAACCTAGCAACAGAGTTGACCTAATGTTTCCAGAAAAGGTTTTAAAGGAGCTTAAAGGAAGTGGTAGCGTGTAAGTACCAGCCTTGTAAGGCAGGTAGGAATTTAATTGGTGAGGGAAGGAAAAGGCACTTCAGGAGGCCAGAAGGAACTGTGTAATTACAGGTGTTACCCAGGCAATCACTTTCTGGAAGCATTTGGGAAATAATTAGTCATTTAAAATCCAGTGGCAGCAGTGTGAATGTTCTTAGTGCCGCTGAATTATATAGTTAAAATATTTACATTGGTAAGTTTTATGTGTATTTACCATTACCATCAGAACAGAAGAAAATGAAATGTTCTTAAAGTAATTGAAAAGTGTGTGGCCCTGTAGCCAAAGATAAAAGCAAGAAGAGTAGGTTTCTTCCATTTCTATGGGGCTAAGAAACTTCAATGTATTTTGTAGGCACTGGGGAATGCCTATGACTAGAATACTTTATTCTGCTTAATTCTGGAGGCAATTTACCAGAGAAATTGAAGGAGAGGAAGTCAAAGTGGGACTTGCCAACTGAGAAATGATGAAGGGAGGCAAAATGGAGCAGGTGGACTGCAATGGGGGCACCTGCACCCATCAGCAATTCTCTCTTCCTGTCTAGGGAGGGTATAGTTTCTTCTCAGACAGAGAAAGATAAGTATTAATCATAGTTTCTAAGAAATTGATACAGTAAAAATTTGCCCACTGATGGTGACCTGAGTTTCTGCTGATCGAAAGTTAACACATTAACAAATTCGAGGAGAGCCAAGCATGCTGCAGAGTTTAATTCATATGAGCTCCTATTTTAAAGGGGAATGAATGAAAATGTCTCTAGACAAGGCCCTCTTAGTGCAGTAGGCAGTGCTTCAATCTCATAATCTGAAAATGTCTCTAGACTTAATTCTACAGTGATTACCATAGGCATGTTATTCACCTCGCTACGTATTGTTTCCCTAGTAAATGTCCTACATGTCTCCTGCAGGAGCTTCTATAAGGCTGTGTCCAACATCCAATGCAGTCCCCAACCTGTAAAACAGCTAGGTGCTCCACACATTAGTGAACTTCCCGCTCCACAATGCTGCCATTATTTAAAGTTCAGTTCAGACACTATCATCTCAGTTCCTCTGAGAAACTTGGCCTAACCTGTAACCACATCTCACTACATTAGCAGCTAGAAATTGAATCCATATACACCCCACTCAGTAAGCCTGCCAGTGAAGATTCTGGTCTGTTTTCATGGTTATAGGCTACTGGGACCAATCTTTCATCAATCCTTTCCTCCCTGGGCCTTTCACTCACCTCCATTCTCCCCCCTGGTGCCTCCCTCCTCTCTCCATCTCGGCACATGGATTGTCAGTGTCTCCACCTACCCTTCTAAACTATGAATCAAATGACGTCACACCATGCTAAAAATCACCAGTGTGATTTTCTAAGCCTTCAGAGTTAGAAGAAAGCCTTTACCATGGCCTACAAAACTCAGTTGGATCTGGCTCTTTCTTACCTCATGGTCATATTTATCATTCTCTCCTTCTACACTCTAGTCAGTGACTTTCTCTTTGTTATACAATGTGACAAGCTTATTTCTGCCTTGGGTACTTTGTTCATCCTTCAGATCCCCATACATCACTACGGCTTGAAATCAGATACCCACTACACGGAGGCTATCCCAACCTAACAGCTTCCTCCTCAGCCACTATCAGTAACTTTAATAGTGTCTGCTTTGTTTTCCCGACAGCACCTGTATTGTGGGAAATTACCAATACGGAGTCAGGTAGAAATATAAGGGTATTTAATAGGGAAAGGCCTTACTTACAGAGCAACCTAGCCAGCTGGCGTGGTAGAGGTCTGTACAGCAGAAGCAAAGAGAAACCGAAAGCGCAAACGCAATCACATACGTCACTCTGACCACGCCCTCACAAGCGTGGTCAGGCACACCTGTAGCCAGCCCCTAAGAAGGCGTGGCTACAGCTTCCCCTACACACCTGTGGTTACCTGGAGTTCTATTGTTTCTTCATTATTTTCCATCTGGCCAAGAGGTAGCCAGTCATACGTGTCCAGGAATCTCTACAGTCAGCCCCCTTGACAGTTCCTGGCATCAAGCAGCTACCCAAGAAATATTTGTGGATTGAGAACATACAGTAATTTCGTGTTTACTTGAGATTTTTATGTCCTTATGCTTGCTCATATCTGAAGATAACTGATGATAATCTGTCACTTCTGTGACATACACGTCCTAATGGCAGAGATTACTCACTGCCTTGAAATTTCCTTGTGCCTAATCCAATATGACCATTAAAAGAATGGGTGAATGAGAAAATAAATGTTGCCTCATATGTCATTCATATATTTTTAAAACCCAGAATGCCTCAAGTTTAGGATAATTCTGTAGTCATTCACATACAATTTCATGAGAAACAAACAAACAAAAAATAAAACCCTTAACCTAGAATTATTTGGAGAATAAGTGAAGAGTTTACTTTTAAGAAAGGATGTAACCCCTATTGTAGAAAGCAATGTTATAGAAACAATGAAAATTAAGCTGTACTCAAGAGGCTGTCGCACAAGTGTCTACTGCATGCACACAGATGAGTAGAGAATGCATGAGGATAGCTAAATCCATCCTCCACAGCACAGTAGAGTTACAATGCTTCAAAATGATGTTTTGCCTTTGTAGGTAATGAGCCCAAACTTCAGATGGCTAATAGTGTGGTTATTAGTGCTGGTACATTCATCTGCATTCACTGTGCACTGTGGCTTTGCACTGCTAGAATAATTGACAGATGTCCCTTCATTTTGGTCACCCAATTTTGGTCTTCAGAATGTTTGTGCCCCTCATCTGTCATGAGAAGCATTCCATAATCACTATTAGAGATGCCTTCATCACACACTGTATTTAGGAATTGGTGAGATTGCTCCCAAACAGAGAAAAGATGGTCTTCCAAGTACAACCTTGATCTATTGGCTTGTTTCAAAGAATGCTTGATTTATGTTC